TGGGTAAAAACCTAAATATTGATTTCTCCTCTATAATTCTAGTAATTAGTCCACTAATATGTTTTCTTTAAAAATTTGTAACTCTGAGTGGGATGAAAAGTAATTAAACCCTAAAAGTGACTGCAAATTGATAATGCAGTACTGTGCCAAATTTGTAATTTGGGTACAAGTGAAGCATTAAAACAAACAACCACACATGTGCACACAATTATTTGCCCTGTGTGACCCCTTGATTCTAAATCTATAAAAGTAAATCAAGTTAAAGTCCTCTAATAAATGTTAATGGTTTGTACAAATATAATTATTAAATCTCATTTAAAAAGAGAAAGTAAGGCTAGACGTAAAGTTGGTTATTAAAATAATAGAAGCTATCTTAAGACTAGTTATATCACATTCTAAATATAAATTTCTAAAATTCACTTTTCCAGATGTGTTCCAAATAAATATACCTAAAAATTCAGTAGTGTTTAAGGATCTTGGACATTTTCTACATTTTTTTAAAAACCTGTCTTGAAACATTGTTAAGTAGTAAATGAGACAAAATTAATTTGGTGAATATTAAGATTTTCCTCAAAAATGTATTCTAAAAAAGGAAAAATGCAAATGCATATGTATGTATACTTTTGATTACTATATAAATTAGATTTCAAAATAATTAATGGCAAAACATTTTATAAAAACTGTGATCTGGGCTGGGGATTTAGCCCAGTGGTTCTGCCGCTTGCCTTGCAAGGGCAAAGTCCCAAGTTCGATCCCCAGTACCAAACAAAACTAAACAAAATGAAACAAAAAAAAACAACCATGATACAAACTCACTGAAGTTATCTTCTTACATAAAGAAATTATATTCTAGGGGGTGAAGAGAGGGTGGGCACAAGGGGAAAAAAAGAGAACCAAGACCTGGCATGTAAAGGTACAAGCTCCGAGTAATGAATGTAACTGTACTGTCTACCTAGAATGTACCAATAAATTCAATTTAAAATTTAAAAAATAAATAAATAATAAGAAATTATATTCTATTTTGAAATGTGTTACTTTAACAATTCTAAATAGAATTTTGAATCATTTTTCTTTGTCAAAATAAAATTTTAAAAGTCAAATATAGTTTAGGTTGTTACAGTAAAAGCAGGATTTTTCTACCTGTTCCTTACTAAATTATCTTTAATCCTCTCTAAATTGATCACATAATATATATCAATTTTATCAATTTAGCATACTTAATTATAAAATATCTGAAAGTAAATTAAAAAAGTGTGAAGGTGCTATTAACATAACATGTGTGATCCAGTAAGAACTATTACACACACATCATATATAGTTTTGTCAGGGCATAATCTCAGACAAATGTATTATTTTTTTCTTGCTATCTCAACATTTGAATCAAAAATACAACTTGAATTTTAGAGAAGAAACTAAAATTTGGACTATTTTTGTGCTTCACAATTAAGGTAATGCTACCACCCTGAATTATGTTTTGGCATTTTTAAACTTTTATCATCCTTATTTGCACTTAGCCAAAAATAAAACAAAACGAATTAAAATTTCTAAAATCGGACAAACAGGAGTTTTAGAAGTTATGGAACTTGTCTATATTTAAAAACATCTAGGTTTAACAGATTTGAAAGTGAAAAATAGTGATATTTTAGAAAACATTAATGATCAATAAATTGATTGTTTAAATTAGAATTAGTGATCTTTAAATTGTGATGGTAAAAAATATGGTACCCACAAGAATAAAAAAGCAGCTACCACATTCTGGACATTTTCTATGTGCAAGGAGGTATGCCAAGCACACAAGCTACAAAATCTCATTTAGTCTTCAAATCCATCTGAACAGGGAGAAACAAGTCTCTCACTCTATCAATAAGAAAACTGACATTTTGGAACATTCAGTATTTTACCTAAGGCCAAACAGCGTATTAGGGCCAGGATATCACCCCAGGTTTCATACAATCATAGGTTACAAAGCCTTTTCAACATTGCCTAACTTCAGAAACAACTACAGAAATCACAGGATCCTTAGGTGATAGAACACAGCATTACTTTTTACTATGATTTAATAACCAAATTGGACCAGAGAATAAAACAGGATGATGGCAAAAATAGTTATGCTGCCTATTCTTAACACATAGTAATCTAAAAAAAAAAAAAGAGTATTTCAAATTAAGTATTACTTTATTATGCAGAGTAAAATGTTAAAATAAAGCAGATGCCTGCGCTACTGTTACACACAAACCACTGCAGTAAGCAAAGAACTTGAACCAGAAACTGCCTGACTCAGTCACCTTGCAGTGCAATAAAGCCTTTCTTTTCCATTCTTGCCCTTCAAAAGACTTTCTTCTAAAAGATATTCAGAGATGTGAAAAAAGCTATTCAAGGAAAACTTAACAAAAATGAACAAAAGCAGTATCAAGGAGACACCATGCCCTGGGGTTTCAGTTTGATTAAAGACTAAACTGGTAGATTTGAGCTTCTCAGATTGCTGATCTAATAAAAGAAACTTACAAGATCAAAGAAAAAGATCACAAGTACCAAACTGTAGCAGAAGATAGAGAGTTAGAAAAAAAGTAAAACTCTAGAAATTTTATAGGGAAGAAAGTACAGACAGGTAAAAGGCTTGAAGGCTTTGGAAAAGAGCAAGCAATACAGCATAATGGTGAGTGTACAGCGTGGGCTCCAGGCCAAGAGTGTGCAGGAACTCTGTCACTGACTAGTTCAGTGATCCTGCGTACATCACTTTTCTTTAATGTCCTCATTCTGGGCTGGGGATTTAGCTCAGCGGTTCAGTGGGTACCTTGCAAGTGCAAGGACCTGAGTTCAATCCCCGGTACCAAAAAAAATTTTTTCCTCATCTTTAGTCTGTGAATAACAATACTACCATCTCACAGGGCTGTAGTGAGGACTAAGTTTGGTAACAAATGTAAAATTTAACATTAAGCCTGGCACACAATTGTTATTCATTACTACGAGGAAAAGGAAGAAGAGAACACAATAAGCATGGCTTCAAACTTCTTGAGCATCTAAAGATCTCTTCAAGTTATATTTAAACTTGAGACTAAAGGATTCAAAATTTGATTCCCAAACAATATATTTAATGTTGAAGGTTTTATTTAGGATGTCTGAAAAATTAGCAATGCTACATTGCCTTGAACTTCATATTTTCCTTGAATTTAAAAGGTGCACTTTGGGGCTGGGGATTTAGCTCAGTGGTTCCACCGCCTGCCTCACAAGCACAAGGTTCCGAGTTCAATCGCCAGAATCGGAAAAAAAAATAAAAATAAAAATAAAAAGGTACATTTGAACTCATTCAAGGATACATTGGCAAACAGGGAACAAGAATAACAATAAACCCCTATGAGAGAAGTACAAAATAACTGGGCTCTGATTGACAAACAAACTCTTGATTCTTATGTTTATTAAACTGAAACAAAGTCTAATATTGATATATAGAATACTACTTTATTATTTACTTTAAATTTTTCTTATTTGTTTAAAAAATACATAGGGGTTCAGAACAACCTCAACAAAAGGACAACATTTCTTACTAAAGGATTTCTGAAGTAAAATCACCAGTACGCAAACATGGTTGGCTTCTAAGTTAAAGAGTCATAGGCACATTTCATTAAATGCATTTCATAAAACAAGGAAAATATTATGCTGAGAAGAAAAATACCAGTAGTGTTATATAAATTTTCCAACTTATAAAAAAGTAAGGTATAGATATTCCACTGCTCACACCTGCCTCATTATTAATTCATCTACTGTCACTTTGCTACTTCTAAACCCCTGACAATTTATTACATAATCTCAGCACACTAAAAAATAAATTAATCTCTACATCTGAAAACAGGCCATTGTAAAATGCAATACTGATAGCTTTGACTTTTATTTGATAACTAAGTGTGTTATATAATCTCAGCAGCACTAAGAATGCAGCTTCGTCTAATATAAATATCTAAATAACAACCACACAAAAGTATTTTCTTTTTAAAATAAGTTCTTATATATACTTTGCCCAATGTTGACAACTTAAACAACATTGACTTCTGTATTGTGTTAAGAAAACATGAGGCACAGAACACATAATATAATTTATACTTTCTTTGTTTTAAAAAATATATTATGTGCACATGAATATCACACAAATGACTAATGGATGTAACAGTAAGCTATTTTAGACCTAACACAAAAAAGTTAATGCTTTACTTTTTTTAAAAGACATTCCTAGTAGTATTAAGAATGATACACCACCACTCAGTAGAATTACTTGTGGGTTTTCTTTAAAATAACAAAGCTCTACTAAAGCAAAAAAAGACACCACATTAGGCACATGAACTGACTTCAAAGAAATAAGATAAAATTGTTCCCAAACCCCATTAAAAATATTTGACCCACTATCCCCAATAGGTGACTACATTGCTTTATTGGAAGGAATAAATTATTTAACATAATGGTTGCTTTATTTATTAGTTTCCTTCACTAGCTAAGACACTTCAGGAATAAGATACTATAGGATTTAGACGAAAAACTAATAGGCTGTTAGCAAAGTGGGGGAAAGGCAGAGTCATTTTACCCAGAAGAATAAAATAGGGTTGGTTGGTTGGTTGGTTGGTTTGCAGCATAAAATTTGGGCTGCAGAAAAACTTATAAGAACATGAACAAATGGGTTGTGTGACAGATCACAAAACACAATGCTTACTGTTCATCTTCACAAAGAAATCCCTAAGCTTGTAGATTAGTGTACTTAAAAGTTTACATGGATACAAAAGATTATACTTGGCCACATATATAATATGTAGCATTTTTCTGTAAAGGATAATTTATGAAAATAATTTCCACAAAAACAAAAAGAGAGACATGGAAAGAGACAAAATGAGAGACAAAGAAAAAGGCAGAGAGTACAGACAGACAAACAGGTGTCAAGAAGCTTGCTCATGTCTTACAGAAGACTTGAGACACTTTTTTGATCCTCAGTACTGAATTATTCTTGTTACTGCACATTTACATTCATACACTATAATTCTCTCATGAGATTACCCTGTACACCTCCTTTCCTCTAGTTTTCTCCATCAAAACAGTTTTAAAAAAGAGATACTAATTTCATCCCTCATTTAACAATGAACTATTCAAGTAAATATTTCTCTGGCAACTTTCCAGATGAATCAAGAATATAATCCAAACCCACTGTCAGATTACACTAGATTTACTGTCTTAGTCTCTTCAAATGGAGCAGGAATTCGCCCGTTTCCTAGGTTTGGGGTCTCGTGTTTCCCGATCTTCCACACATGTACAAGATGTGCACATTGTCTGAGAAAGTCTTCGGAGGCCTAGCCGAAAAACACTGTTGGAGAGGCTGTATATCACACAGTTACAAAAGCTATTACTTATAGCAAGCCAGGTTGTTAAGAAGGACAGTGTTGGATTGTCCAAAACTCGGGAGCTTTCTAGAAGAAAGTAAATAATATAGGGGAGCCACAGCATGTAAAATACACTAGTTATTCTAAATAAAACCATGGCATAGCGTCGGTCGGGGCTGTGTCCTGTCTCTCTGGAAGCATCTACTTCATGGCTAGGGAATCGGGCTCTTCGGTCATTTATTTCTTTGGTATGCTGTCGGCAAATTCTGAAAATGTGAAAGTAAGTGAAACAGACAACAAAGGCAGCAGGAGCATAAAGTAAACAAACAATAAAACCAGTAAAATAGGCACTCGTGAGCCAAGAGGTGGCACACCATTCAAAAATGTCACCATGGTAACCAGGTTTCCCCCAGCCAAAAAAGGAAGGCAAAAAAATTAGGCAGGAATAGATCCAGATCAAAATAATGCAAATTCTCAGGCGACAAGGGGTGACCAGCTGATTGTAGGAAAGAGGCTTGGTTATTGCAAGATAGCGATCCACACTGATGCAAGCAAGACACGCCATAGAAACACTTTTTAGAACTGAGATGATATATCCAAAAACCTGGCAAGTCAATGACTCGTGGACACCTGTGGAGTAGTGAAGAAGTGAGAGAGTAGGAACCAAGCAGCTAACTCCAACGAAGAGATCAGCATATGCCATTGTTTGTATAAAATAGCTGGTAGTATAATGATGTAACAGTGGAGCACAATGAAAGACAAAGATGACCGTTAAATTCCCAGCAATGATTAGAAATGTCAGCAAGACAATAACAACTGTCTCGAGGATGCAGACATCCACTGTACTGTAGTGACCAAATCCAAGTGGGCAAGAGTGACGCTCAGACATATTCACGATGCCACTGCTGATGTTCAGGATCTTCCAGTCAGTCCCCCTGGATTCATTCATGGCTTGGAATTAGAGGAACTTGCAGTCTTGGCTCCAGCAAGCAAGTGCCTTTTCCAGCATCTGTTAAACTCTGCACACAAGTGCCTCAGAACCTGCTTCGGCAGACAATGTCAGTGCTTCTGTTACAGCTGAACGTCCCAGAGTGCTCAGGTCTCTTCATCAGCTTTAGTTCACCACTGACACATCTCAGCTTTGGGGGATAAGAGAAGAGGGTAAGCTAAAAAGGCGAAAAGAGGTTGCTGATTAGCTTCCTCAGGTGCTCTCAAATAACTTTTTGCAGACAAATGGCACTTTTAAAGAAAATACTGTAGATATTACCTTGAAGTATGAAAAATTATATCTGTAAAAAGAAAAAACTGCCAAGAAAAGGAAAGCTTCTCTGTGTATGCTGTTTTTATCTCCAAAGAGAGAAAGTTTCTTAGGGATCAACTAGAAAAAAATAAGAGAAAAGGTCTTATATTGTCTCAGGCTTCCTGCTTCAACTATGGTGAAAATGCAACCACATTTTAGAATTTAAATAATTAAGATCTCAGACACAGTTAGAAAGCTAACAGAAAGTTCAGTGTGGCAAAGAGTGTCCTTGGGCTCAGTTCAGGTTTGATGCTGATAGGTAAACTTTGCTATCCATTTCCCTCTGATTTGTGATTTCAAGTTAAGAAAAATTATTTTGTGGTTAATTCCAAGACTCATATTTAAATGGGTACAAAGGAGCGTATCATGGGTAACAGACTCCAGATTGCCCAATAGCTATCATGAGGAAGAAAAAGTATATTTCTAGTAAGGGAAGGTAACATACAGTGAGTTCAAACAGTAAAACCTAAAAACAGTATAACCCCTGAAGTTTTAATTCTGCATGCTTTTTAAAGCATTTTTGAAGAGAAAATGTTTAGTCAATTACAGTTTTGGGTGCTACTAACAGTCATGTAATTTATATCTCTTCCCTTTCAAAATGAAATCTTTTTGGGCCGGAGATTTAGCTCAATAGTTCGGTGGCCTGCCTTGCAAGCGCAAGGACCTGAGTTCAATCCCCGGTACCCGCCCCCCCAAAAAAACAAAACAAAACAAAGTGAAATCTTTTTAGCCATTAACTTCAGCATCTACAACTGAAGGTAATTTTCATTATTTGATATGCTGCTTTCCTTATAATGGAGCATTACAGTGAATTTTCTGCTTAAAGCTATTTCTCTTTTTACAAGCATACACCCATATTCCTCATATATGCAAATATAGCTGAAATTTAGACAACAGAAACCTTCCTATACATTGAGCTTATCTGACTACAAATACTACCATCATTTATTACTTATTTCTACTAAGTTTCATATACTGCTATACCCTTCTACTTCATTAGATTATTAACACAAAAAAATCATTACTTCAATTAAATATTCTAAAAGTGGAAATTTACCTTGTTTATTGTATCTGCAATTATGTATCCACCACATGTTAAGAAAATGCCTCTTCTATTTTTGTATTCTATTTTGAGCAAGTGCTCAATTAATACCAGGGCCATTAGGTAGGTTTTGAGATAAGACTTGCTTTAAAATACCTCAAAACATCAAGATGAGTTTAAATCTTCGACTCTGAAATATTGAAAGGCTGGCAGGAAAAATCCATACAAAAGGCTTCCAAGGTCATTCTTGTATCAGGTTAACATTTGCCAAAGTCTTTTATTCTTCCCCCTTAAACTATAAGCATTTCAAAGAGTCTCTTATCAGTCTTTGTTGTCATAGCTTTTGAAGAAAAGGCATACACTACAAATAAAAACATTTCCTTCAGGAACAATGCAGCAGCTTAATAGAAAGCATTCTTCTGAAAGTTATTTCCTTGTGCACTACCACATTTATTCAGGGAAATCCTTCTTCTGTTATAGCCACAGGATAGTCCTCCTTTTACATTCTTAGTTTCACTTAACACAAAATAGTTCTCTTCTTACAGAAATAAGGTAATACTTCTCACCTACATTCACTCTTATCAGCTGCTAGGCTAGGCTGCTTTATTCTGAAGTCCGATTCACTGCGATGCAGTTACCAGGATGCTGCCGGTAGATTCTTCACAATCTCTCAGTATCACTGCCTGCCTCCACCTGAGCTCAAGCCCTGCTCCTCCCTCCTCATCCTGAGCTGATGCAGAACTCACCATCAGAAAAGGTGACTCGGTCCTCCTGCCCCAATCAACAACACAGCCAATGGCTACTGCAGCTGAAACTGTCACTAGGTAACAGTTGCCAGGCACATGCAGGCTTATAGACTTCTCAGCAAGCTCCGATCAAGATTGACAAAAGGAAACAATGGAATTGACCAATCCTTATAATATGCTCATAGCATTTAGGAACTTCTAAAGGAATTCTCCTACATTATTTGTACAGGTTATATCCTGTGAACCATATAGGGGAAAAAAACAAACAAAACAAAACCTGGAATACACCTTTAAACTGTAGAAAACTACTACAAGGTACTGTGACACTAAAAAGTCAGCAGTAACCTAATGCTCAATGGCAGAAAAAAACTTATTAATTATTAAAATTCAGCTAAGTCGTCATGAACTGAAGTGACATGACTATTTTTTCTACAGAATACATAGTTGTATTTTGATTAGAAGTTAAAAGACATTTACTCATTTATCCAATGCCAGCCACACCCACAGTTAAATACGTTTAAATGTACAAACAAAGCACTGGACCTAAAACTAGTATGTCAAAATCTATTCAGAGAAATACTTAAGGTCAAACATGATCTCAGACAAGTATATACATCAGAATAAACAGAACAACTGTGTAGCCCCCTTTTTATCTTAATATGTGGAAAGGGCCAGCGGGTGAAAAAACTGTCCTGGAATGCTTGAGCTACATATGTCCAAATTACAAGAAAGAAATTAGATATTTTCTTAAATATTTGATGGATGTTAAAAACATTCACTTTTATTTACTACAGACAAGCATTTACCTAAACATATTTCCCATGGTGTCAGCACTTTTCTTAAAAACTGACTTAATTTAAAATTTATTTCAGAAGTAAGATAAATCAAGAAAGTTAAGGCAAGATGAAAGATAACTAGTATTTTCCAGAGCATGTTTTATGAGCCAAACATTATTTTATGTACATTTACATATTTTCTCCATAAAAATCTTAAATCTCTATGAAGTGAGCACCATAACTGTCATTGGTCAAATGAAGAAAGTGGGCATTGAAAAAAAAAAAAAAAAAGAAAGAAAGTGGGCACTAGACAAAGTCAGTGTAGATCACCTACAAATACAGAGCTGTGATACTGGTCAAAACTGTCATTCTTAACACCATTTTGATAAACCCTATTTCCAATTTCCTACTGATGGCTGCCAGTCAGGATATGTTTTAGAAGAATTACTTCAAATTTCATAAAAATAATTTCTGAAGAATAGAAAGCCCTATTCCTTCCTTCATGTATAGCTGCCTTTCCGGAAGACTATGTCGTTGCTAAAATCTTTGGAGGTTTATGTGAAAGACAGAGTGATAAGCATATTTTTCATTACCAGAAATATCTGACCAGTTAGAATAAAAATTTTATAATGATTAATCTATTTAGGTTTGAAAGTAAATATTTAAAGTTAATATGAAATAACTACTTTACAAGGAAGCATTTTGATTTTAAGAGACACCTAAAAGCATGAGTTTTATTACAAAATAATTCTAAAATTAAATCTGTGAGTTACTAAAGCTAACTCTCAGTCACCGAAATTTAAACATATTATCTTTAAAGTACAGACTTACACATTTAAAAATTGTTCTGAATTGTAATATTTCTAAAATTAAAGAAATAGCAAAAAAATCTCATTTGAAGAATTAAAATACTAGATTGCTTTTTTGACACATATATTTCCAAAAATATATCACTGGCAGTGATTGGAATCTAAAAACACTGCATATAATCCGCAATTACACATGCTTCCAAAGATATATGAACATGATACAGTTTAAAAAGTGTCATTGACCCATGAAGCCTCTTTCTTTCCTCCCACTAAATTAAAAGAAAAAAAGCTTCAAGAGTTCTAACAAGGTAATTTTCTTCTTTCTAGCAACTGACTGAACTAGCCCCTACTTTGGTTCTTTTCTATCATTTTTTTTCTGATATGGATACAATGGGAACTAATTTATAATGTGAAGCTCTAATAATAAGAGGATGCTAATATCATATTTACATAGCTCATTACATGCAGCATTCTTTATTTTCACATTTGGCATCATTCTCTTCATGTGAAGGGTCATTAGGTGTTTTATCATTGCCATTCTTTTTATAATCATTACTAACTACCTCTGTGTCCTTTCCACTGATGAATATTAATCAAGAAATATCTAAGAGGAATCATTATTTGGGATTATTTCACAACTACTTCTAATAGCTAAAAGTGATAACTAGATGACCTCACAAGCATCTGATTTTTTATTTAAAAGCACTATAAAATCATAACAAGTAAACACATACAGGGTAAAGTAAAAATTTATCTTTTAATATATTTTAAAGGTACCAAAAGTTGTATGTGTTCAACCTACATCCACTTCCCTCAACTACCCCTCACCTTCCCTAACTTTTCTCCACCTCCACTCTCAGAGTGCCCAGCAAACTATAGCGATCTTGTGCTTGGACAACTGCAGGGGTTTTCAACCTGATCTTTCTGAGTTGTTTCTGGCTTCTTTGCAATTCATTATCTTCAAAACAGACAGTATATTCTTTCCAAAGTGCAAACCAGATCATGTTTAAAATATTTCAGAGGTTTTGTACTACACTTAGTACAACATCCTAAAATAGCCTATAAAATCTAGTCTTCGAGTATCTGTCCAATCTCATCTCTCTTCTGTGTTATTTAGTATTGCCCAAACTGCCTTTACCTCTCCCAGCCTATCTCCCTCTACCCAGTCCCACATAAATTCACTATGTTCCTACTATCTCAGATAGTTACAATGCTATCACACTTCTTTAATTCAGATATAATCATGGTCTCAGTCCAAATAATACTTTCTCTGGGGAAATTTCCCTGAGTTCTTACACTATATGAGACAAGATCCCACACTTATCAGTTTATAATTACTTACTGTATTCAATTTGTCTTCTCAA